CAAAAAAAAAAAAAAAAAAAACCTCTCCAGGGACCAGCAGTTGGCGTAACGGCTTTGTCGCTGGACTCCCATGTAGCCGACCGCGGTTTGAGTCCTGGACCTGGTGGCTTAAACTCACACCGGGCGTGGGTACGTGTGTGTCCAGGATGCCGAGAGGAGAATGGAAGAGAAGGGATTGCGGCATGGCCATCCCCCTTGGGGGGTGATTTCTCACTTTCTGTCTCTCTGTCTCTCTCTCTCTCTGTCTGATGAGCGCACATGCCTTATAGCAAAAACCTCTTTAAAAAAAAATCTCCAAAAAAATAAAAAATAAAAGAGTTAAAATGTTGGGGCCAGCAGGTTGTGTATTGGTTAAGGTGCTAGACTCCCATGTGGCCAACCATGGTTCAAGTCCCAGACCTGGCAACTTGACACTCACACTAGGCAGGTATGTGTGCATGCCTAAAATCCCTAGAAGAGATTGGAGGGGAAGGGATTGTGGTGTGAACATCCCCCCTGGGGGGCTGACTTCTCACATTCTATCTCTCTGTCTCTCTGGTGAGCACATGTGTCCTATTTCAAAAATCTCTCTCTCATTAAAAAAAAAAAAAAAGAGTTAAAATGTCCCTCCTCCTTCCTTCTTTCTCTCCTTAACATTTTTTCTACCTCCCCTCCATGCCAGACACTATGGATAGATTTCCATCTCTAGACCCCTTGCCTAAGGGACTTGGAAGTAGCCCACCCCCCTGCCCCAGCTCCAGCTCCAGCTGCCTCAGCTCCAGAGACCTTCTCTCCATCTGTCAGCAAGGTAGGTCTTTTTTTTTCTTCTTCTTCTTTCTTTTGTTAATTTCCCACTTCTCCTTACCCCACAGGACTTTCTCCAGCTCTCCAGCCGGACTGCCCCCAGCTCTCCAGCAGAGCCCATTTCCATCTCCAGATCCCTGGCAAAATTGCATTCCATGCTAGTACACAGCACGTGACTTTTTCTTTATTCTCTTTCATACTTTTTTCTCTTCCGTCTTATATTGTCATCTCCTGCTTATCCCTCTATGATCCATAAGGGGCTAGGCAGGTCTATAATCACAATTTGCAAATACCCTGGTATTGTAAGGCTCCCTGGGATCCTCCCTTTTACTTAACCACCTGCAAAAAAGAAAAGACTGCTCTTTGGACTCCTGAATAGAAGACTCTTCCTGGGCATACCACATTGCAAAGCACAGCAAAAGAGAGACTTTGGCGCACATCAGTCCACAGTACAAGGGAAGCACACTTGTTCCCAGTCAATGTAACATTCTCCAAAAAGGTATCCAAAAGTGAATACCCCTCCCCATGGTTAGAAGTAGAAGAGCCTCAGGTCTGAATAAGCCAGGAAATATGTCTCCACCAAAAGAACACAATAACTCCCCTCCATCTTTTGAAAAAGCAGAATATGTTACCAAAATATCAGAGAAAGAATTTAGAACATTCATGGTGACAAAATTCTATGAGTTGGAACAGAAAGGAGACAATGAGCTACAGGAGATTAGGAAGTCCTTCCATGTTATGAAAGAAAAAAAGGATACTCCAAGAAAGAACCAGATGGAACTATTAAAGATGAAGTCTGTAATACAGTAAATCAAAAACTCTCTTGAAAGTATTAAAAGTCGATTAGACAATGCTGAAGATTGAATCTCTGACATA